CCCCCCAATAAAAAATCCTCCCAAGCCCAGAGTACTCGCATGGGTGGTTGGAGGGTGCTCTAGTGTGGTTTGCCCCTTCTTTCTCATTAAACATCTATCGTCTTATCTCTCCTTTTTTTTCGTGTGTTTGTTACTACCTTGTAACACCTCTAAACTTTGGCACTTGTAAGACCTAAAGATGTTGCAAGTGCTGTAAAACTCTTACCTAAAAACTATTTTTCAAAAAGAGTACTCACCACAGTGACGCCATCGTTGAGCAGGGACTCCCCAAACACGATGATGTAGAGGATCTCGTTCACCTGGATCTCCTCAAAGATGGCCAACACGGCCACCGGGTCCACAGCCGAGATGAGAGCGGAGAACACGAAGCAGTGCAAGATACTCACATGCTGGTGGATCCAGCCTATGTAGGACATGCCCCATAGACCCAGGCCTGGGAATGGAGAAAAAAAATATATATATAATATATAACTGTAAATGTTACACGCCCCCTTTGATAACAAAATGTGATAATTTAGGAGGCCAGCTACTTCGAATCCACATCTTCTGTGTGGCACACCCAAGCCAAGAGTCAAACCATCACATATATTACAGACTCCTGCCATACCTGGGGAAAAACCCGGAAAGAGATGGGGATGAGTATACCATTACAAATTGTCTCGAGACTTTTTTGTTTGCCCCTGGACGTTCGTGGCTTGAAAAGTGGACTTACACGGATTCAACGCCCATTTAAGGACATGAATGATATTGAATATTTTAAGTGGTAACAATGAAGACAATTTAAACTTTGAAGATTCGACGAAGGATCATGCCTTCTGCAGTCCAACATGTCAACAACTCAGCATGCTGCAAGGTAAAGACAGACAACTTACATCTGAAAATTCTCTCTCTCTCTCTCTCTCTCTCTCTCCCTCCCTCTCCCCCTCCCTCCCTCTCCCTCTCCCTCTCTCTCTCTCTCTCTCTCTACCTTTTCCCTTCTCTCTCCTTACCCACCAAAAAAAATGTAAGTCTCCACACAGGCAAAGAGTGTTTAATCGTAAGTGTTTCTGCCACATTGGCACAACTTAGGAGATCCACAAGGCGCTCTGTTTCGACCCCGCTTGCCACAGCCAACTGGGGCACAGAGGAAAACAGCATTTCCGGACGTAGCCAATCAAACAGATTTCCGAAATGCGGAAATCGCGCTAGCCTCTCTTGCACGACAGCTAAAAGCCCCGACCATTACACACCACAGACAGAGGTACAGTTATGAAATTACGGAGTAATATTTCGCTTAAATATAATATAGAACAGCCACACACATATGTGATGCAGCGTGGAGGAATCAGGCTCTCGTCAATTTTTGGGCATGTAGAGTTATTGGTATCATCTTAAAGCTTGTTCACTTTTCTTTATTTGGAAGAAAAAATATCCGTTTATCTTGAATACAAGTCGAGATATTTGTAAACGAAGGAGGTGGGGGTCACTTGTTTTCAGAGGTAAAATTAGTGAGAAAATGGCCTCCAAAGATTAGTTATTTCCTTAGCTTAAGAGTCCGTGGTAACTGAAAATTTACATTTTTTGGTTCCTTTTGCCAACGCTTTTCAGAAAAATCCACCCAGAAAAGAGTTCTTTAACGGGCATGAAAGGCGTTGAGCCAAAAAACAAAAAAAATTTATAAAAATTCACAAACCTGCGGGAAAAATGCAAGTTTCTTCACTTTGATTATTTTGACGAGAGCCTGATTCCACCACGCTGCCTCACATATTATTGTCACATGGCATTGACAGAGTGCAATAAAGTGTTTATTACGATTACAGCAACACAGCAGGCGAAAGGACAGCGAAGAATATGATCACCGAAAACATTCAGCAACAGAACATCGCGTAAGTCAAAAATATTTCTACCATTATAATACTGCTTGTTCATTTTCGGCTCTGATCGCGTGACTCAAATAATGTGTTACTGGGAGAGAAGGGGGGAGGGAGGGGGGCTAGAAAGAGTGACAGAAAGAAGGAAAGAAGGGAGAGAGGGGGAGAGG